AATGGAAATAGTTGAATGATTTGTCTGATTTGTGATTTTGGTTTTCCAATATTTCTGAAAACTTGTTCAAAATAATACTAAAGCTTGGCATTAGACGACAGTACATAATTTATATTCTGATAGATGCGATATCATTTTCTTAAAAAAATGAAGTGAAGTCACTTCACAAAACGCGACACTGATCAACGTTTACCATTGTGCAGTTTTTAGAAATTTCTCAAAATGATTGTGGACATGTAACTATACAATTTCATCAGCTTGCCAGAAAGTTAATAGCCATGTATTACAGACTATTTTAAGATATCTCTCATTCCAAGCACACCACTTTAATCTGTTTAATAAAAGCAGACGAAAACACAGGTCTGAGTTGTGAACGAGAATGTAAAGCATCAGCAGTTATGGCGGCTGCAATAATTGAGCCCCGTTATTAATTAAAAAAAAACATACCATGTTATCAGACCAGCGCGGGCATGTACGTTTATATTTTTACCAGCCCCAATGGAAATTGTTCATGACATGCATATTATGTACAGTAGAGCGCCACCTTGCGCTAAGTTTAATTTCGCTATGTTAAAACTTGCGGTTTTGAAATATAAATAAACTGAATAAATATTTAACATTTCTCATATTTTAAATTAAATGCTCATATTTTAACATCCGTTTCTCATATTTTGAATTGAATTACTCAAATTTTAAATTTAATTGTTCATATTATAAATTTTTATATTTTAATGTGTTACGATGATTTTAATTATGGCCCTTACAACGTTCCATATTCCACCCACGTCGTTCTACACGCAATACGCAAGTTTTCGCATTGAACGGAAAATCAACTTATTAATATTAATTGAATTTTTTTTTTCACTTTCATTTTTCATTTTATCTTCCATTATCCGATCGAAAACGAGAAATCACTTTATGTATTCCGGCCCACTGCGGTCCAGCTGACTAACAACCGCCCTCTGCAGTCTGAAAATACAAACAATTGAATATTATTATGGAAGAGATGGTATTCACTGGGTTTCATTTCAGCGGACTTGAGGTTGCTAAGATATGCACTGACTGTGTTTTAACTTCAGTGGTTTGTGGAGGAAACAATTCAATTTTTAAATTTTGAAGTTTCGGCGGAATAAGCGAAAATAAAGGAATAATGAAGAATGAACACTTCAGAAGTTGAACGTAATTTGTTTTACATCGAAACTCTAAACCTAGTCGATGACTTCGGCGACGTTCATACTACCACCCATTGGTGGCCGGATTAGGTTAAAGGGCGGTAGTCGTCGTGTCGCGTCTTGTTCGATATGGGACTCATAGCGACGTACACAACGCGTGTAAAATACATTGTTTATTTACATGAAATCCGAACACGCGCTGCGCGACGACCATTACCCTTTAAGTACACCTGGGGGATACTCTCCGTGTTGGACATACAACCTTACAAAACAATGTTTTTTTTTTACTGTTCACGTATTTCGTTTACTTCACTGTTCACGTGTTTTTTTTTACTTCACTGTTCACGTATTTTGTTCACTTCACTTCACTGTTCACGTATTTCGTTTACTTCACTGTTCACGTGTTTTTTTTACTTCACTGTTCACGTATTTTGTTCACTTCACTTCACTGTTCACGTATTCTGTTTACTTCACTGTTCACGTATTTTGTTTACTTCCCTGTTCACGTAGTTTGTTTGCTTCCCTGTTCATGTATTTTGTTTACTTCGCTGTTCACGTATTTGTTTCCTTCCCTGTTCACGTATTTTGTTTACTTCTCTGTTCGTGTATTTTGTTTACTTCACTGTTCACGTATTTTGTTCACGCATTTTGTTCACTGTTCACGTATTTGGTTCACTTCACTGTTCACGTATTTTGTTACTTCCGTGTTCACGTATTTTGTTTACTTCAGTGTTCACGTATTTTGTTTACTTCCCCCTTCACGTATTTTGCTTATTCTTACTGTTCACGTACTTTGTTACTTCACTGTTCACGTTTGTTGTTACTACCCGTGCAATGAGCGTTGCATGAGTCGGCGTTTCGGGGAACGGTCTCGAATGATAAAAGACATAATTAAATCATTCGGTGAGTTTATTGATTGCTGATTTTAACAATAAATGTATTATTTTCTTCTGAATACTTTTGTTTTCCTTCGAGTGCACAGACACACTGGAACATAGAAGTACCAATCTCTATAGTGTATATCGTGATGATTCGTATAATTTATCAACCAAAACTTTTAATAAAACAGAGAATAAAAAGGAACTATTTTAGTATATTATTTACGAGCGTCAATAAAGCAATGCTCTAATCTAGTCTAATTTGTTCTATTCTATTACATTCTAATCTGCGTGGTCCAAACGATGGAAAATACATGGGTGTTCGTAGCAAAGTTGTGGATCCAGAGCACTGCTCATTCTCACTTTTTTTCATGATGTTGTGGTATTGCCGGTATAGTAATTCACGACTCTGGAAAAAATTCTGGAATAAAGTGATGAAGAGTCGCAAATGAGCACAAGTAGAGCGACAGGAAACTTTGATGTTGATAGGTTGTTTTATTTTGTTTATAAACAAAGATATGATATTATTACGCGCTTCTTCCAGAAGTACCGGACCTCGAAGCTACTGTCTTCGAGGTAAACCATAGACATCATGATATGTTTTGGAGTCGGTGAGCACCCCCCCCCCCCCCCGAGACAGCTAAGTATCCAGTTAAGTATCCACACTTTAAAATAGCTGGAGTGGAAGTAACATGTTCTTTAAATATATAAGTCTGTGACCTCTTTAAAAATTGCAATGGGAACATGGTTTAGGGAAAAAAGAAAGCGCAAACAAAGATTGCCGGTCGTATGTGTATCATGATGAGAAAGGAATCCAAACCTCCTTCGAATTAATATGATCCACCCTTATCTGTTTCAAATAGATATGTTGCTTAACGTTTATGACAAGGGCTCTATCTGGTTTAATTGGTGAGTAAAATGTTCTCACCACTCGTCCAATCTCGGTTTGATATTCCGCACACAGCAAAAACTCGTCATGAACCTTCAACTCCTCCGAACAGAATGGATCCGTCTTCTTAAAAATAGCCTCTGTTGGAAACCGACAACGTGAATGACATCATTGAGTTATAATTTGGCGAATCGACCAATAAGAATTGAGTATTTTGTTTTGTGGACAATGGCCATGTGATGTGCACAATGGAAAGTAAGCACACAGCATAGCGGCGGTTTAGGGACTCGTAGGTGGATGGATGTACGTACACAACACCATGAAAATCAACTGTCGACTGCCTTTAAATTAAACAACCATTCCCAGAGCCAAGAAAGCATCTCGCCTGTCACCGTTTCATCTAGAATTATACAACCCCGAATTATGGCCGAGATGAGCTCCGTGATGGTTAACTTAAAGGCCGGCGAACCACCCCCGAATGGATCAGCGGTGATGATGAAGCGGGTTGAAAGCCGGTTCTTCGAAGCTCAGAACCGATCTCCGTTCACAAAGAGACCACCGGTGAAAGTTGAGTTTCGAGACTTGACGTACACCGTACAGGAAGGCTACCTCTGCAGAAAAAAGGGTAAGGCTTTCTCAATTATTCTTGAATATTAGAACGCACACTTCCCGCTCACCCTTATATTTGGAATAATATTAATAATTTCTCCATAATGATATTTTGCGACCATCACACTAAATTTAGACAATTTATAATCCATAATTACTAGTACATGATGGTGGTCTACCAGGACTTTTTACTCTTTTTTCCTTAGAAACATTTTCACAGTATCTACATACCCGGCACAAATGTAGTAACGAGCACTCACGCTTTTTCTGACACGTAATGTATGACTGATCCCAGTCACGTAATGAGAGACCGATCGAGAGCCACCTTGTATAACCAAGCTGCATCATAAGTGCTTTCCGCTCACAGGTTTTTGATTTGTATGTATACAATTATACAAAATATAAGTAAATAATACAAAAACATCATTATTGAAGAAATAGAGCCATACTTATACCGTATTTGCTCTATTAATTAATCATGTGTTACTGTAAAATGACTAATTTTCACTGGGTTTAAATTTTGCTGATTTACCATTTCAGGCATATTCAGTGGGTTTTAAATTCACGGTTTGATCATTTAGATAATGTGTTCTATGCTAAATTTTACATATTCACTGGGTTTTAATTTAGCACATTTTCCAGTCAGCGAAATAAGCAAAATTAAAACCCAGTGAATAATTAATCCTTTTACAGTACATAAATAGAAGAGGTGTGTGCAACGGTTATATTTCATAATATATAAAATAAATGCAACTGTTGGGGTATATGTGCTTCTAAGAGAGGAGGAAATACGGTGCTATTATCTAATTTTAATAATAACAATACGCTGAGATATTAATATCAAATTAAACAATAAACTTTAAGAGTGAATACTGATATTCAGGTATTAATAATAATATTTGCAAATTTTTTTTATGTTAAAATTCACAGATGTGTTTTATGAATTAGCATGGATGCTATTGTACTGGAAGCCAAGCTTCTGTACAGAATCAATAATTAAGGATTCCCTAATTAACACACCGACATATACACTGGTGCCGTCATTGTGTCTAGTTTTTGAAGCGTGTGACTTCAATTTGATAGATAGTTGTATTTCTCATCATCTTTCCAGAGCCGATTCATAATCGTCTTTTTATGACGTCATTTTACAACATTATATCATGGAGCTCTGACCCTAAATGGATCAATTAGTTCCATTTACCAGTTATAAATTGCATGTGTTGTCTGATGCCACTTGGATGTGTATTGACACCAATTTAAGGTCATGTGTTGTTAATAAGGTTAATTTTTTATTAACTATTTCAGCTTTTCCTTGCATGTATCTTGAAATTTTTTCTGTACTGTACACTTACACCCTGGAGCTCTTTGTTACCACTCAGTCCTAAGTAATGTTTCATTTAAATTAATATACTTTTTTTTTTCAAACATCAGTTAGGAAATATTTTTCTTTTTTATTGATCCTTCCCCTTCTTAATATATCTGAATATGATGATATATCATTTGAGTGTAACCTGCCAGCACTATATATACTTTTACATTGACTTGACAAGATAAGGATTAATAACATTTATGCATTAATAAGCTACTAACTTTATTAACTTGTCAGGGTCTACTTTACCCTTGCCCAGTTTACAGAATACGAACAATGGCCGGAGAATAGCAGCTGATCCATGTGCTTCCTTTGTTATTGTGAGGTCAACTGACAGAGCCTATTATCCATATGTATATGTTACAGCATTAACCTTATTGCTAGTGTAATGAGTCTGTCCAGTCAGACTCTGTTGAGCTAATACATACCATTCATAGACTGGCTTCATGGTACAGTATTGTATATAGGTTAAAATGCATACAGACGTTCACCCTTGATTCTTAAGTCTGTATAACATTTACTCTAAATCGCTAGAAATTTTTCGTGATTTTACGAGTTTCGTGAAGACAAAATTTTGCTAGTCACTGACTCTCAGATTCCCCCGAAAATTGTCACTGTTACAAATTTCTAAATTTTCACTGTATTAAAAATTTTTCAAAAAATTTGTCTCCGCCCTATTTATAAATGTGTTATGAAATAAATGTAAATATAGTCATTGCCCACAGCTCTAGTTTAAAGGGCGGTAGTCGTCGTGCCACGCATGCGCGAGATATATTGGTCATCATATAAACAAAGATGGCGACTTTGACTGTTGCGCAGATCAACGAGTACAAACTGAGACTTTACCAAGCTTCAATTAGGTAATTTTAGGCGATTGGGAGGTATCTAAAACGGCACCAGCGGTAATTAGTGCAAGTCACGCCCAGGTTAAACCTCATACTTGTGATTTCAATTAGAAGAGCACATTGGATTGTTGGAAACTCTGTGTTTATGAACATAAATGTCGCACATGCGCAGCGCGACGACTGCTGCCCTTTAATGTAAGTGGACAAATAATGTTGTAGCATTGCGTGGGTCCATCTCGATCCTCATTATGACATCCGTGAAGCTATATCTGACAAAATGGTTATTTTCTTGCTTTTACAATTCAGTCCTGATTTTCCCTTGCCACACATCGGACAATCGCAATAGAAGCATGCATACGAGCTGAAAAGGTTATTTCGATACTCTCAAAACAGGAAGCCATTTAATATAGTTACATAAAGGTGTCTAATAAGTTGCGACACGATATATCACAGGGAAAAATAGGGGTTGTCTATTTCAATAACTTATGTGGATGAATGTCAAGTAGATTGTGGTAAGTTTAAAAAAAACATTTGTGGTTATAATGCATGCATGTAGAGGTAATGCATTCATTGTAATGTGGTTAGTGATAGACAGGGAATGTAGCTATCGTAGCTATGACGTTTTTTTAATTCTAACCGTGGTGAATATATTTACATTTTTTTTTACCAGATGTGACAAATTCTTATGTATAAATCAGTCATTTAAGTAAGTTGGCTACCATGGAAACAAATAATCTAATTTCCCTGACATTACAGTATTTTTTGCTTTTTACAAAACCCAGATATAACGAATAATATCCAGGGTCATGAAAATGGTGATTTTTTTAGTTCACCTAAATTTGACCTTTTGAAATTTGCTCTCCGCTAACTCTAATCTACTGATGAGATATCTTAAAACTTTACCTCCTAAAATTACTTGATAATAATTTATAGTTTTAGAACTGCTGGTATTAATAAAAAAATTGTATGTACCGTATTTGGTCTATTAGTTGCTTGTGCTCTTGAACCCTAATTTGGTCAAGTCAATGTAAAAAACGTAGGACGAACAGGGTTAGAAAATCAATACCAAAAACGTGTACAGCATCCTTAATGTAAATATATCTATGGTCAATATTTATATATACAAATGTATAGGGAAATATTTTTAGAATCCATGATAGAAGATTTGTAATTTTTGACTTGTGTGCTGGTTTGGAAATGTGCTTCTAATTTGATATATTATGCTAAACAGTGGATACTATAACAATTAGTTAGATAGTTCTACAAGCTGATAATTTCACATTTGGGATGAAGCATATATACAAGGCAACATTTGATACATCAAAAAAACTGCCAACAAACAAGCTGTTCTCTGATTGGTGTTAATTAGGGGTTAGTAGCCAATTAGGGAGAATCTTGTAAGTAGCTGCCCATTGGCTCTGATTTCATGGAGAAATTTTTTTTTTGAAACATTTATCTAGCTTTCTCTCGTGTAAAGATGTTTAGACGTTGGAGTTTAGAATTCAGGACACTTGTGAAATAATCATGACTTCTTGCTTTACTTAGAAAGGAAAAAAAAAACTTTGTAATATTGGTCTTATGTCAGTGTTTTTATAAATTTAACATCATGTTTGTTCCATCAATATTAATTATTCATATTTGTTATTTTTAATATTATTTCTGACAAGAATAAATAAGTAATTTCTAGCAGTAGAATAGTATTATAGTAGTAGTATTTATACGAAAACATATGATATTAGTTTGGTATAGGTAATTCTACATTCTTAGTAGCAGGGGGTTAAAAATAAGAGTCACAGCCAGACATGATATGTAAAGTGATATCATAGAAACTGTGTTACAACTTACAGCGGTAGCATCTTAACAAATGATATCACCTTGCCTCCGCCAGTCAGCTCTCTAGATTCTAATTGCTTAGCCAACACAGTCATTTGTATTTTAATCATACTGTAAATTATGTGAGAAAAATTTTCTGTCGTAATATAACTTTTTTTTGGGGGTTACTTTATACTGATTTGTACTTACTATACGTGTAATTTTTTTCTTCTAAAATTCTATGGTTTATATGGTATAATTTTTGCCTGTACAAACACCTATACCAAGATTACCTCATGAGATCTCATCAGAGAGAGACCTGAGTATTCTCAACATGCAAATTATGTGTGAAATGAGGTAAATCTCATATGAGATCAATATATGGAAATTTATAGAAATTCTCATGCGAGTATGCATAACTTGATTCGTGCATGAAAGGTTGGTACTAGCAGTATGTGAGTGAGTGGTTCATCTAAGTGTTCGCGATAATTGATCTATCTCTTGGCTGCACAAACAGTGGATCATCTGATTATGTGGTTTTGTTATAATTCATCTAGAAAATGGGGAGCCCCCAGGTGTTTAGTCAGATGTAGCTTTTAGAACCTAAAAGGGTACATTGAGTATATTGCTGGTACGGTCCTATTCCACTATGAGCAGCATAAATCAGGCCTTGTTTCATTAAGCTAACAAGTTTCTGAATTTTTTTCTGTTTCTAATAAAACCTAGTTATTCAAGGGACATGTATGTACCAGTTTATCTGGATTTGGAAGTGATGTGCGAATTAGATCCAGTTAGACACGGTGTATAGCGATTAATTTTGGATAACTAAGGGGCGTGCCAACTAGATTTGTGTATTCATGGGGTATATTTATATAGGATCAACTTTTTTTTTCCAATTTGTTATATTAAATTTACTTATGTTAATGTTTTATTTTTATTTTTACAAGAGTTTATTAAATTTTATTGAAATTTTGTAGATTAAGGTCATCA